CTGATGCTAAACTCCACTCATTGTGCCTACTCGGGCTAACGTTCTCAGCTGACACGAAGTGGAAAAACTATATTGAATCCATTGCTAGGACAGCTGCTAAGACAATTGTTTCGATGTATCAGGCTAGACAGTTTCTCTCTCCATAATCTCTTTTACATATCTCTAAATCTACCATTCACACCTTCTTAGGATATTTCTATCGCATGTGCTCCTGCTATTTATTTAGAGATTCTTGATAAAATCCAAAGAATCGGCACTATTATTGGTCCTGACCTGTCCTCTCGGCTTCAATTTATGAATTTAAGCGCAGTATTAGACTAGTCACAAGATCTCATCAATTTACAGATGACTTGGCTAAATGTAACCGTAAATTCTATTCTAACAGTTTTTTTTCTCGCACTTCTGGCTTGTGGAACATTCTTCTGGTTCCATGCTTATTGGCCAACTTTGATCTCCATATATTTAAATGCAATGCCAATCGTTACCATTATTTTTGTTTACTTGATTATTGTTTCTGTTTTATACGTCTTTCACACACATTAACCCCTTGTTTCTTAGTGCCATTACTGCTTTGCTTGGGGTAAATTCGATTAAAAATCATATGAGAGTGTAAGTTAATACGTACATTAGAAAATATGGAAATTTTATTATACGAACACCATCCACAGCCAGTTACAGACATGTGACATGTAACAAGTATTTGTATGTTTATATTGCACTGAGACAAAACAATTCATGCTAACCACTCAAATATAGTGAGAAAAGACTAGATAAACAGAAAGTTCTTTCTTAATGACTTACTACTTCATGTAAGCTGCAACGTACCATTGAAGAGTTTTAAAAATATCAAAATACAAAAATCAGGAAATAGAGATTTCAAGAATGTGTCCCATGAAGGCATCAATAATTCTAGTTGTTGAAGCCTTGGGTTTGATTGGATATTTTTATGATACTCATTATAGGGATTTCTGGCAACCCATGTCTAAGGAAATAAAAATATATATATCATTACAAATAGCTCGCGCCCTACGAATAGCGTTATGTAAAATGTGTTTCAAGTTTTTTTGTTTATTTTTTTTCTCACAAATATGCTGGAGAATATATCATGGTGGCATTTCTGACATTAGATCACTGGTTGGGACATTGAAGGAAATGAGTGCATAATAGAAATCAAAGGGAACAACAACAACAACAACAATAATAATAATAATAATAATAATAATAATATTGATATGGCAATCCCTGCTGACTGCAATGTATTTTTGAAGATATTCAAAAAGCTGTCAAAATACAAGGACATTGAAATAGAAATCTCGAAAATGTGGCACATGGGAACATCAACAATCCCTGTTGTAGTTGGAGCCCTAGGACTGGTTGGAAAAGATTGCAGTAGACTAATTGAAGGGATTCCTGGAAGTCCATGCCTCAAAGAGATACAAAAAATTGTTCTCACAAGTACAGCCCAACCATTTACTTTATCTAAGTATTTTTTTTTTGGCAGTGGAAAGTGTCATGATGCCATTTCTAACTTCAGGTCCCTGGGCGGGACCCGGAAAGAAATGTGTAAACGCCAGAAATCAAAGGAAATAATAATAATAATAATAATAATAATAATAATAATAATAATAATAAAGACCAATTACTTATTAATAGGATGATCCTGGAAAACTGCTTCCGTGAAAAAAAAAATCTTAGTATTGCCTGGATAGATTATCGTAAAGCATTCGATAGTGTACCACATTCCTGGATCTTAAAGTCTTTAAGTATGTACAAGGTATCACCCGTTATCATCAATTTCATCAAACAATGTATGTCGATATGGAAAACTACACTTTACCTCAATCATAAAAATGGAACCTATAAGTCTGGCGAAATAAACATCAATAGAGGAATATTTCAAGGTGACTCTTTGTCTCCTTTATTATTTTGCATATCACTTATAGCATTAACCAGCCAACTTAACAAGACAGAATGCGGTTACAAAATAGCTCAAAAGAAAATAAACCATCTATTTTACATGGATGACTTAAAATTGTATGCTAGGGAATGACAATGAGCTGGAAGGTCTTCTGCAAACTGTAAAATGCTTCAGTGAAGACATCGGAATGAATTTCAATTTGGATAAATGTGCTAAAGCTACAGTTTTACGAGGATCGCTACAACAAACTTCCTCTATTAGTTTAGACCCTGCTGTAACAATAAAAAAGATTTAGAACAAGGAGAAGCTTATAAGTACCTAGGTGTAAATGAGAGTGAAGGAATTCACCATAAGAAAATGAAAGAAATAGTGCGTAAAGAGTACTATAGAAAGGGTACGACTGGTATTAAAAAACTGAATTGAATTCTCAGAACAGAATTATGGCCATTAATAACCTAGCCATCCCAGTGGTCCAATATAGTTTCAACATCTTGAACTGGACTCTAAATGACATCAGACAAATGGATTCTAAAACAAGAAAGCTTCTTTCTAAGTATAAGATGCATCATCCAAAGGCTGATGTAGACCGTCTATACATACCCCGTAAAGAAGGTGGAAGAGGTCTTATTCAGCTAGAATTGTCATACAAGACAACAACTATTGGCTTACTAACTTACATGGAAACAACAAATGACTGGATGATAAAATTAGTGAAACAACATGAAAACAGAAACAAAAAATATTCAATAATAAAAGAAGGCAGTAAATACAAACAACATTTACATTTAGTAGATTCTGTAGTAAATCAAAACAGAAGCCAAGAACCAACTATTGCAGCAAAATATATGAAAAAGAAAGCCAAGGATAAAGCCCTTGAACAGATGAAACAACGCTGGCAAGACAAACCTCTGCATGGCCAATATCCAGAACGTGCAAATAAACCCAATGTTGATAAAGTTAATACTCATCGATGGTTACGAGCATCTGGATTAAAGTCTGAAACTGAAGGCTTTATTCTTGCAGCGCAAGACCAGAGTCTTTTTCACTAGGAATTTTCAGGCAAATATCATACATAATAATGTGGATCCAAAATGCAGGTTCTGTGACAAATACCAAGAAACAATAGACCATCTAATCTCAGGATGTTCTATACTTGCCCCAAATGAATATAAAAATCGTCACGATAGAGTGGGGCAATACTTACACTGGACAATGTGCAAACACTTTGGAAAATGTGTAAGCAAACACTGGTATGAACATCGGCCAGCGCCGGTTACAGAAATAGAAGATGTCACCATTCTATGGGATTATACCATCCACACAGACAGAAAAATTGAAGCAAATAGGCCGGACATTATTGTCAAAACCAGAAAGAAAAAAACTTGCCTACTAATTGATATGGCTTGTCCAGCGGATTGTAACATAGCAACCAAGGAATTTGAAAAACTATCAAAATACAAAGACCTGGAAATTGAAATAGAAAAAATGTGGAAATTGAAAACAAGAATAATACCAGTGGTAATAGGTGCACTTGGAATTATAAAAATGGAACAAAACAACACATTGAAAGAATCCTGAAACCCCAGCTTAAGAGACATACAGAAAATTGTCTTATTAAGTACAGCACACACACTAAGGAGAACTTTGTCTATGTAACGCTAGCAACTTCATCGGAGATAAAAAAAAAAAAAAAAAAAAATTAACATGAAATGTGGCCATAACAACACACCACGACCTGCCTTAGGTCTTTCCGCAGACTTGGTAGGTAGTGTGTCCATAGCAGAAATCGAATGATGATGATGATAATAATAATAATAATTGATTGTATGTCATCTCATCTACTTGAATTTTCTGATGAATAAAACTTGTCTATTGAATCTCTGTTTAAATTCTGCGGAAATTTCGTTAGAAATTCAATACACAAGCAAAAAAAAAAAAATAATAATCATAATAATAATAATGGAATCAACGGACAACGTGACCAAGGCGAGCTTTCAATTTGGAGGATATCGGCTGTGGTTTGATCTGAAGAGTACATGTTCCGTCAAGTCTTTTTGGCTAAGAGAGAGTACATATGGATGAATCCATCTACAGATTTCAATCCAGATATAAAACTGGACTGGTGCTCAGGTGCGACAACACCGAGCCATGGAAATGATGATGATGAATTATGATGATGATGATGAATTATTATTATTATGATGATGATGATGATGGTAGTGGTGGTGCTGGTGGTAATCATGCAAAATGTCAATATATGCCATCATTTTTTACGGTATTGGCAAACTGGTATTGTAACATTATTTGCAAGCGTGAAGTTTTATTTACAATTAAAATGCGTTAAATGTTGTCCTATATCACGAACTAAAATTAATTCTAAAAAAAAAGTTATTACTTTTCATTATTTCTATAACTTTTTAATTTCAAATTTGTATGAAACTGAAATTGCATAAAATGCGGATAAATGAATAGATATAAAAAAAAACAATAAGAGGAGTTATTTTGAACTTGAGTGATTCGAGTTGACCTCATTATTTTTTAATAAAAATAATGAGATTAAACAACTACAGTCGAAAGCGACAAATTAGCGTTGTAATTTTCGTGTGGGTATCGTGACGGGTCAACGAGTTCATGAGGATAATTCTGTCTGAGGCGTGATTTCACCCTGAGTCGAGGAATAATGCAGTTGTCAAGTAAGAAGATGTGGGCTTTCATTCAAACAAGCGGGATAAGAGTATCAATGTCGATTACTTCGTAGAATCTAAAACAAAACAATTAAATGTATAAAAACGCGAATAGAAAGTGAAGGTTGTGAAATATAATATGATGGTGGCGAGGAGAAATGGTGGCGAGGAGAAATGGTGGCGAGAAAGCAGGTAACAAAAAACAAATGAGATAATTTGATGACAGAAGAAAAATATATTTCAGAAAAAAATTTTCCATTCCTTATCCATTTTCTTTCTTTCTAAAGAAATCACATGGATAAGGAATGGAAAAAACGGGGAAAAAAGAGAGAGAAAACAGAAATTGTTTCAAATTGTTTAAAACCATAATGAAAATAAAAACACAAACAAAATCATACCGGAGAAAAAAGAAGGAAGAGATTAAAAAAAAAGCAAGTAAACAGAAAACAAAGAAAAAAAGGCAGAAAGAAAAGAAAAGAACAGAATGAAAGGAAATAATGCTGAGGAAATGAAAACAGAAGAATTGAAATAGTGTAGAAAAATGAATGTAAGATAAAAAAAAGGTACATTTTAGAGACAGAAAAGAAGGTCCTACCGAAAAATGTCGAAAGAAAGAAAATAATTTAAAGTAAACATCGTAAGGACATTCAAAGAAATTAAGAATGAAAGTATCACAGAAATTCAGAGAAAAATGCAGAAAGAAATGAAGACACACAAAGAAAAGATTCTATAGAAAAATGTAAAAGAAAAATAAAGAAAGGAATGAATATATATATATATATATATATATATATGAATCCAAAGAGAGCTAAATGTAAGAAACAGAGCAATATAATAATAATAATAATAATAATAATAATAATAATAATAATAATAAGTACATATGATCCTTAAAATTAATTCGGTTATAATTTATTTCATGAATATACAAAATATAGAGAGAGAGAAAAAAGAAAAGGGAGAGAAAGAAAAAGGAAAAAGAAGGAGAGGTGAAAAATTTTATATTAAAAGCGTAAGACATTGAGATCTTCCTCTTTTAATATAAAATGTTTTCATTTTACTTTTTTCTTTCTCCCCCTCTTCATATTGTCTGGACAAATTGACTCCATTTATTAAAAAAAAACTTCGGTCTGAAGAGATGTATATTTGTATATCTTCATGAAATAAATTATAACCGAATGGAAATTTTATGGATCATCTGTACTTACCTACATACATACATGCACACACACACACACACACACACACACACACACACACACACACACACACACACACATATATATATATATATATATATATATATATATATATATATATATATATAGCATGATGAAGAAAGACCCATAACTCAACGAAAACAAAGTTTTGCTATCAAAATATTTATGTTATTATTAAGAGGAAAGACCAAAGTATTTTTTTATTATTTTTTGAAATTTTTTACTCCTTTCTAGCACCTTGAAAATTTCTTGCCCATTTCAAATATTTGTCGGAGTTTAATGAAACTTTCAGGAAATATTCAGAAATGAATGAAATTATTTATGAATTTTTGTTTAGAAAATCCTGATAAATTTTTGTTTTTTTTACATGTTTCTACCCCCTTACATATTTTCATGAAATTTCAAGAAATTAAATTTTTAAAAGTGGGATTTTTTTCATTAGTTAAAAACAGGACTCTTTAGCGAAAGTAAATTAAAATTTTTATTTTTTTTTTAAACATTTACCTGTTTCATCGAAAATCTGCTCTGAATTCTAAAGAAAAGCAAATGCAAAAATCTATGACATTATGCATTTAGAAAATCTTTTACTTGCTTTTATAAATAAGTTATATTAAGGACATTATTGTCTGAATAAAACTTTTTCGATGAATAATGTATTTTTACAAGAATTTTTTTTTCATTTTTTAAAAAATTTATTCATAATATTAATAATTCAAAAGTCGTTTAACATTCTTCATTGCTTTTAAACATGCAATTTGGTGATATGGTTAAGTGAAAAGTAAATTTACGAATCGAAATTTGTAAAGCTCATAACAGGCGTTTTTACCAGAATATTTAAAAATAATTTAAAAATAACTTTTAGTGTTCTTAATTTCTATCTATGCGGAATCTATACATGACATAATCCTTAAAAAGGTCACGTGATTTGATTATCTTCTGAGGCACTGCAATTATTTCCCTTCAATATCCAGTTCTGTTTCACAACGTTAACGTGTTTGCAAAAAGTCTTTTCAAAATTTCTAAATTAGTTTTAATTTTTGTTAATTACTTTTTTACTAAATATTTTTATTTTAGGTTTTTATTTTAGTTTGGGTCATATTTCATTGAAGTAATTTTTTGTCTAAGTTAGTAAGTTATTAAATAAGATAAGATTAAGAACCTAAAAAGCGAAACCCAGACTTAAAAAAAAGTATTATATAAAAAATAAATATTGCATAATTGCTGAAAAAGATGTTAATATTTTAAAAATCACTAGTTAAAAACCAAAATAAATTGTTAGCTTCCATTTCGTAAAATTATATCAGTTTTGGTCATCCATAGCTCTCATCACCTCGTAACTTCTCAATAACATCTATAACGTGAAAAAAGACATGAGAATTTCACACACATCGTTAAAAAATGTTTGTATACAATTTTTTTCTGCTATAAGTAAGTAATGTTTGTCTCAAATCAGATTAATTGAACTTTAAATTTTTTAATTTTGATCAAATAACATGTCAAAAATATATAATTTATTTTAGGAAGAAGTTTAAAATTGTAATTTTTTTGTTTACAAATTTCTTAAAATTTAAGAAAATGGCCGCTTTTAAGAAAATTAAAAAAATAGAGCATATGTTTGACATTTCAATCTATATAATTTCTATCTGAAATACACCAGAGTATTTTACTTACTGGAATTAATAAATTTAATCCGTTAGTTTTCAATTAAAGTTAAAATAAAATCTTTAAGAATGCTTTTTCATTTGTAAAAATTCATTTTAAACATTAGATATCGAAAAATTGACCGGAGGTACATATATATATATATATATATATATATATGTGTGTGTGTGTGTGTGTGTGTGTGTGTGTGTGTGTGTGTGTGTGTGTGTGTGTGTGTGTGTGAAGATAGGGAAAGAGGTCAAAGGATTCAATTCTGCTGTATGGTGAGTGTTCATAGATATCTTCAAACAAAGTGCCACTGTTTCTTAAGAAGGCTGCATATGGATTACGGACTGTGTACATACGTCATTAAGAGATTAAGGAAACTAGAGGAAGACGAAACTTTCTTGCTTGTTTCTTTTCTGTAAGATTAAAGCTAGGAATTATTTGCATTAACGAACTTAAGGTTGCTTATTTATGGAAGATGATTGGTTGGAAGAAATATATATGTAAATAGGCGACGTTTATGACCAATAATTCTGGATTACTTATATAGTATTTATTTTTCATTTTATTGGTTTTTATTATACATTTATTAATTTATTTTTTATATCTTTCTTTTAATTTTCTGTTTCTAAATTTTGATATCTGGAATAAATATTAAGACTTGTGATATATGTCTATATTTCTGAGATGAGGTATTATGTACTCTATTTACATTATTCGAACTATTGTCCTCATTTTTGTCGCCATATTGTATTCATACAATATGAGAACCAGTAATAAGGATTGCCAGAGAAAAGCGATAACAAAAAAACTGCAATATGAGCTCTTATAAAAATGTGGAATGATAACAGCAAAAATTGCAATATGAGCACTGGTAAAAAAAAATTGCTGAAGGCATTAGTTTTATAATACCCAGAATGTCATACACAGATGTCCTCAAGGACACATGGCACACTGGATAAAAGCGTTAGTTAGATCCAGTGACAGGACTCAAAAGAATGGAGAACTTGGACAGTGACATTAACAGGAGAAAACTGATAACATGACACGTGGAACTAGAACAGTGAGCAAAATAAAGAAGGCCGGAACGTACAACGGTCGAAACGTTGTAATAAATATGGCGACAAAGATGAGGACAGTAGTCAGAATAATGTAAATAGAAGACCTCTGATATTATTTAGAGATTATTATCTACCATTTCTTCATGATTTTGTTTTAGATAGCGCAGAAGGAATTTTTGTTGTGTCTGCATATAATATTTGATATGAGTTTATACAATCAATGTAGATATTTATCTTCATTTTCACATGATATGAAACGTGATAGAAAGTCTATCACTTGTAATTTCTAATGTGTCATGATTGCAAGCATGAAGAATTCCCTAAACTTTCTATAGAGGGGGAGGTAACTGGTGTATATATCCTTGCTGCCCTGGTTAACGACAACTGGTGATTCGCAGCTCAGGGAGGTCGAAATTCACAACGGTTGCTATCATCAGTGGAATGACGTCTTATGGGATGATAAAAAAGAATAGCACATCATCTTTATGTAAAATAAATCCGCCTGTTTTATGCTGTACTTTCATATTATTATTTCATTTTCCATTTGTTTATTTATATTTGCTAACTTATACAATCTAACAGCGTAAAAACCATAAGGGAATAACGCAAACGACTTTCTTTCCAAAACATTCTGAGCGCAATTCCGGGGGTTTATACCCTAGATAGAAGATGTTAAAGAAATAGCTCCCCCCTCTACACTGATGGGAAGGGGAAAAACATTATGTATACGTTAATCATACCCAAAAGTATAAATCACGAAAATCCACACATGTTTAGCGGATTAGAATCTGACCCATAGGCACATAGATGATTGTAATGAATGTTCCTCATTCGGGCCAGACGAATGCTACAATCATAATCTGTTTTCTGTTTATAAATGCAGAGACGACAAGGGGTACATATTATCTAGCGGGTAAGGAAATATTTACCAAGGCCGAATAAAAAATAAATAAATAAAAAATCATACTTTCAGAGAAATTGAAGATTTGCACATTTTTTTTTACCTGGTAAATCTAGTAACTGTTTTATATATTTTTTTTTCATCCGAAATGATCTAATTGTTGAAATTATTTATTGTTTTTCTTTTCCCATTTTCGAAATCTCGAATATTAAATGTAATTGTTTATTTACTTTTGCATATCTTAATTTTTTTGTTAATATATTATACCAGCTTGATAAATGTTTTTGCGGTTGCAATTCGTTTCATAAACATTTTTTCTTAAAGAATATATAGTTTAAGATTTATTGATTATCTGGAAAAAGAGACAATTTTATAATAATGAACAAAATTATGAAGGACTCTGATGATACCCGGATGCTTCTTAGTCTAAATGTTCTGTTTATATCTTTAATAACAGAGATGAAACTTGGTTTAGTTTGGCTTAATTTACGGCAGATCAAACTCAATGGTTTATTTAATGCTGTTAAAAACATATATTGCAACTATTTTTTTTTCCAAACATATATTGCGGATAATAATTTTTCTTCAAAAATATATTGCTTGTAATAATATTTTGCAAAAATGTATTCCTGTTATTAAAACCTATTTTACACTTTCATAATGTTTTGACCCCAGCTTGAGTGTTAAATATTTGGCGATAGCTGGAACCGCATCTTGTGCTACCAACCCGAGTGAGGGTGGACCTGGAAACACAAGCAATTAGGAGGTGGTACCACGCTCCTCAAAACCTCCCGATTAGAGGCCTTGCTGTTGGATGTAGTTTGTCGTCTTACCCAGGACGAAGAGAGGAAACTATGAGTCCCAATAAATATAGTATGACTCACAGTTACAAATCAATGTTTTCATGTATTACTGAACGCTTTGAAAATAATAGTCTTTTAGTTTTCCATCTTTATAAATGACCGATTGTTTTCAAGATGACTTCTATAATTGCATGTTTAATTACATTATAATTAAATGTATGCCAATAAAGTCATTATCTATCATGAAATAATAACCACGGTTAGTGTTCACAGTTTATAGTGATCTTATCAATATAAAATATATAACGATAAATAAACAATATTTTGAAAACTATTCTTACAAAATATAATATTACAACATCCAGTCTATGAAATAGAGATCTATAAAAATGGTTAAACCTGCCGAACTCTTTTAATAATGACAATTTGGGCAAATAAATGCGAATGTACACGTTTCACTCTTAGCATTTTAATCATTTTAGGCGCTTAATGTATAATCATGTCTCAGTCTAAGCTTTGTTTAATATATAGAGTCCAGCCCAGTTCAAAATTTAAAAGGTTCATTAACGTAGCGTGACTGACAACCAAGAGGGAGCCAGAGCCATTTGATTTTTGTTGGCTGACTCACTACAGTGATGCTGAAACAGATTTTTTTTTTTATTTTGTCTAAAGTAATTAATATGTTACCTATTTCGCTATATGAATCTTCCGTGGGGGAGAGAATTTAGAAAAGACATTTATGCATGTCGTTTCTTAAAATTATTGATGCAAAAGTATAATTATATTAAAGCAACGATAGGTCTATATCGAGAGAATCTTGTTATAAATACCATGTTCGTTAGTAAAATGACATATCAACATGTGTGTCATTTAACATCGACTACATATCTCATAGACAAAAAAATCTGAATGAATTAATAGATAAGTAGACATAAATATGGTATACAACAGAATCAAATTCTTTGACATAGTCAAAAATGTAGACAGATGTCAGCATAACACTACATTCAAAAGGGTAGATATTGGTCCGTTTTAAAATATAATAAAAAAGGTAAACATGAGATGTAAATGTGTTGAGGCTGTAGTATCCACCCAGATATTCATTTTTGAGATGGTCCCCTGCAAGGGACGATGCTAAGAAAAAACTAATTTAAACATAGCAATTAAATAATATTCAAGCATTATTATATATTTGGAGCAATAAGAAATAATTATGGTTCAGTTATATTTTTATTTTTCGCAAAGACACGAAAGACACATTGTATTGCCTTATTAAGAGCTTTTAAAATTTCTATAAACAATATATATATATATATATATATATATATATATATATATACTGGATATTGTAATATATTTTGTAATAATAGTTTTCATAATATTAAAGATCGCTTTAAACCTTGTTTTTCAAGTATATATTCCTATTATTAACACACACACACACACATATATATATATAACCCCGTACGAAAGAAATATTTCAAATTTTGTGCTAAGTAGAAACTATAAAATATGTGTAATAGTTTTATTGTTTTAGAGAAATTTTAGACGCTCTTAATTAGGCAATAAGATGAGTCTTTCATGTCTTCTTTGTGAAAAATAAAAATCTAACTGAACCATGATTATTTCTTATTGCTTCAAATATATAAAAATGTGTGAATGTTATTTAATCGCTATCTTTAAATTAGTTTTTCCTTAGCATCGTTCCTTGTAGACGACCATCCCAAAAATGGACTTCTGGGTGGATACTACAGACTCAACACGTTTACCTTTTACATCTAGTGTAAACCAAACAGATGTTTACCTTTTTTATTATATATATATATATATATATATATATATATATATATATATGAACATGATCAAAATGTGTGTATCTGCATCACTTCAAAGTATGAAACTGCGTGGCATAGATAATTTTTTGCTATCTCTTTCGAAATGAGGGAAAATAAAATAATACATGCCTACTTAAAAATCAAAACAATGAGAAGACGTAAATCATATCCTGAACGGTTATTTATTGATTTGTGGGTGTTGAATATAGTTCTTTCGTGCTCAGGCTGAGAACTGTACAACACCATCGAACATATCTGTATAATCTAATCCACTCACACAAACATGCATCACACAACTGACAGCAGGAAAAAGAATGTAGTTATATAACGCACAATAGTTGAGTCAAGTTTCAAAACTATTGTAAGACAGAGATAAACCTTCAGCAAAACAAACCTTTCAAAAACTTCATTGAACAGCTGTCACTTTCCAGTTAATTATCTCTCCAGTCCATCACAAATAAATTAAGTTAGATAATGTGCCTAAAATAAAAGGCAACATTTCACTTTCTAATTCTTTCTTTCTTTCATCCAGAAACAACATTTTAGGGTCAATACATAGATACAAATCTACAGACATAGCATAGAGAATATCACATGCATACTGAATGTTTTAATAAAATACTCCTTAAGTAGGTCGGCAAAAGTGGGTCTATACCGCTTTCGCTTCTTTGGTTCTCTGTTTATTTGGGGATAATATTATCGTTGATTACAAATGCTTCATTTGAGAGCAATACTTGATCGAATCAATCGGTTGATTCTCCAGACAGAGATCATAAAATGAAATGATATATCTAGTCCCAATTAATGAAAATGTATCTTGCATTATTTACATTATTCGGACTGTTACCCCCACCTTCTTTATCCACAAGGCAATGTATCCTCAACGATAAATTCGTTGGTTAGATCCAGTGATTAGACCCAAAGAGTTGTGAGTTAAATACCAGGCCACAGTAGTGGTGAACCAAAACTTGGTGAGTTAAGTTAAAGGGAAATAACTAAGACATCCCGAAGAGGCATGGCACGTGGAACTAGAAAAATCTACCCCCGGTGGAGGAAATAAAGGGATCGGTTCGAAATTGCAATCAGCTGAAGAAGGCTGAAGCGTGCAATGGCCGAAACGTTGTTAATATGGATATGAAGATAAGTATAACAGTTCGAATAATAAATAGTAAATAATGCAAACACAATTTAGGTAATCAAGCCTCTCCAAGGATTTATTTTATCTGGGAATTTGCCATGCATTCATACTGGATTGGTTTTCCATGTTTTTTTTTTGTTTTTTTTTTTATTGTTTTGAATCCATAGTTTGATTGAATGCCTACCAACTTCAGTCTAACTTGTTATTTATCCCATATTTGATGGAGAAGAAAATAGATCCATGTATTCGTTAAAAGAATAAATGCGAAATTCTACGTAATAAAATACGCCGAAATTTGAACTCGTGTCTCTGATTCTATTTTCGGCGCCGATACTCGCTACCCTACTCGTACTTCCTTTAGAAATGAATACATTTTAAAATTACAGACAAGCGGTAATACTGAAGACGGAAATTTTAAGGGATCCCCACCCAACAGATCCTTCTGTCTTTGAGTCCGAAAAAAAAAACAAAATACTTTTTCCGCCATCACTTTGACCAAGAGACTCAAAAGCAG